TACTCCTTTTTCATATTCAAGTTATGAAATATGTGAATGTTTTCACTTTTTGTATTTATTGGCTCAGTTGATCTTCCACCTTGGTTCTCTTCATTGTCAATTGCACTCAGGTCAGATGTGGACGTTGTAAGTATGCTCACCTATCCTAATAGAATCTATAAGGTTTTCACTGGTACCATGCTTTATCTGGCAGTAGTTCTGAATGTCCCTAAATTTAAATTTTCTCCAATTTCAGTTGTATTCTCAGAATTCCTATTATAAATATATGATTCTTAGATGAATATAATAAGAAGTATTAAAACACAGACCGGACAGGATGCTCAGACTGGATCATGCATGAACTAGGCCTCCGAACAGTTCCTTGTGATCTCAGACTTCAAAATACATCAAAATTGGATTTAACCTTTGAACTAGATATCAACACTTATCTTGTTAGACTACTGAACATGACCTAGTACTAAATATTTTATTTTCAGATGATGCCATCTGGTTATTGTGTTATTCCAATTTCATCCCACTAACCAGGTCAGCATATGGTCTAGGTTTAAACATTATTAGACATGAAATTTATGTATAAAAGATTTGCCTTTATAATATAAAATATTCAAATGTACAACCGTCAATATCATATTTCCATGTTTCCCTTGCCACGGTTCTATTGTATGTGCTCATGATTCATATCATATGCAGGATAATGGGAGCACATCTAAAAGTATGCTCCCCATTATATGCTTCCGGGATGGCAGTCTTCCTGTTCCAGATGCCTCAAACACTTATTTAAAAGGTTTAGGTAATGCCTATAGTTTCTTACTACTTTATTTTCCTTTATCTTGTTTAGTTACTTAAGTGTAGGATCAGGATAAATATCATAAAGTTTGATAGCTAGATTTGAACCTATAAAGCTGGTTCTGTACACCTATATTCATGAATCACACTCTTAACACATTGTATGAATATCTTGTAAACAAACACGATAAGAGAGTTATGTGTCAATTTAAGCATTGGGTGTTCCTGCAATGTAAAATGACCCTCAGAAGGTGGGCTCTTGTTTTAAACTGAAGTTTCCTGTAATGTTACAATTAAATATTCCAGTTATCTATTTTAGCAACTTCTGCTGCTGTGTGAGCAGGATTATCAGTTTCTGCATAATCTTCTCCTCATGATCTAAGAATTTTGAGGGCTACATCTACTCATCTAGTGAGAATTTTCTCACCAATTGTTCTTGTTTTTCATGTTTAATCACGTGATGATTACAAGTAGCTTCATAAGTGCATCCATTTTTGCAGCATTAAAGCCTTTCCCTAATGGAACTGTTGGAGGTTTACAGAATTTTTCAGATGTGGAACAGTGCCATCTTTTGCAGAAAAACATGATGGTTAAATTGACAAATGAGCAGGTTTGCTAAAACTTTTTTCTCTTGTAACAAATTGCATTCCAATTCTAGCTTTAGCATGTGGGTGCCAAATCTCTTTTTTCTTTCTCACCAATAGATATTTCTTATGTTTATGGAAAGCAGCTTATGTATGAATCCAATATTTGTGTAAATTAGTGATTGCTAATACTAATCCTAAAAATCTGATAATCATCACATCCTCACTTGTCTTTGAGAGCAGACTCATAAGAGAAATGCAACATTGTTTGAGAAGTACAAACAGGTGGAGGAGGTGATATAACTCACAAAGATAAGAGTGGTGCATTTGGATTTAGTGACAACAGAATTTAAAGATGTGCCTTTTAATAATTGATTAGAGATTGGTAAATAGTGGCGGGTTTCCAAAGAAGTAAACAGGTAAAAGAGGGATGCAATGGAGTCCACCAGATTGTGGGAAAATCAAGTTTAATTTTGATGGGTGCTGTATTAGAAACCCGGGGCTATTGGGTGTAGGGGGTGTTGTCAGAAATGTTATGCTTAGTTTTTCAGGCCCAGTGGGACAAGAGAAGTCTTTGAGAGCACCATTGATGGCTCTAATACAGGGTTTAAAATTACTGCAACAACAGGGGTTAAGAGATGTAATAGTGGAGGGAGACTGTCATGTGTTATTTGCTGGATGAAAGGTCAAAAACAAATACCTTGGGAATTTAAGGCTTTGGTAAGGATGGCTATCTCACTAGGGTCCTCCCTGAATGCCTCATTCAACTGGATCCCAGTGTACTTGTTTTAACGATGGTTGCTTTGTAATCAGTTTGACTTGATTAATGAAAATCTTCTGTAATTTATCAAAAAAAAGATCACATCCTAGCCTGTCCCAACCTATGTTATCCAGATACAGAAAGGACATGCCTGGATACAGTATAGATATGAAATTTACACTAAAATTTGAAGTATCCAACATAATATGGCACCCTCGTACATGTATTTGGGTATCATAGGTTTCTAACCTGTTTAGGTGGGTTGGCAGCACACCTACCTATTCCCTCATTCTGCTTTAAAGCTGTGTTTTATGTTATAGTGGTGGTAGTAGTTGTGTATTAACAGTCATAGCATTTTTAGCTTTAGTTTATACATTGAAAACTCATTTGTATGCATCTCAACAACAGATTTCCTAATATAAATTTATCCAGGAGAATAGAGTTTGTGAAACCTATCTTACTGAAAATTAGTGTTTGGTATTACTAATACTAATATCATCTTTGCTGTTACCTTCATTGTCATTATCATCAGTCTTATCCCACTTAAGTGGGATCGGAAGCATCAGTAAAATTACTCTATTTTGGTCTATGAAAGGCCATATGGTACCATCATCATCAACAACAACAAAAACAACAATTTCATGTTGTAGGCTGAGAGATATTTTGTTGAAGATAGTCAAACCTTCCTAGATATTCATGGGAAATTATCAATATATTCCCAAGATTTTACCATGTTTAGATTATCTCTGTCTTTCTGTCTCTCTCCCCTCAGGCCTCAACTGTATCAGTGAAAAGGTGCATAAATTTCATTTCTAGATCCCTAGGAAAATCAAATTACACTTAGACAATAAAGTATATGTAGTAAAATGAGCACCTTCTCTGAGTTGTATATTATTGTACAATATAGAAATGAACATGGAGTAAGACCATGCTTCAACTTTAAGGAACTCAAGATTACTGAAGTCTGCCCAGGGGAAAATAATATCCACTGGTTTTTAAACAAAAAAAAAAAAACGGAAAAAGAAGAGAGAATAAAGAATTAAAGATATAAATCAAGTCTTGGGTGCTCAAATCTGTAGGCTTTTGGCAGTTATTTAATCCTCTGTATGGTCCCCTCCAGACATGGCAGACCTTATCTAGCTGTGTATTGACATGGGCAATGCTTTTGAAGTGTTTCTTTTCTTCACCTTTGATAGACTTGAATGGGTTTTGAGCCTTTCTACAAATAGAGTTCCTACAACCCTACTGTTGTTGATTTAAAGGCCAGAGCATCTCAAGGTGGGGGCTTCTGTCCTTGGATTGCTAAAGGAAGAGACTTGGGCTTCTTCCTTTTGTTGATGACTCCTGTGTTCTAATCTCCTTAAGAGTGTCTAGCTGAAGGTCCTTTAGCTTACATCTGCAAATAGATTAAGTTGGAAGTACTGGAATTCAACTTGGCTTATGTAGCTTGAACAAGTTTGTGCTACATCAATCCTGTTTTGTCATTCCGTTCTATCAAGGGCCATATCCATTGACCATTATTAAATTGTAAGCCCCAACATAATTTCTCACTACCTCAACCAATGTCCTTTTACGCCTGATCCTGTCTCATCTTGGTTCCAGCCCCTTGCATCAGATTGCTTCTTATTGGTGCAGCAGGCAGTCTTTTATGTATATATCCAACCCATTTCGGTTTGTTATCCCTCATTTTATCACCTAATGGACTAGTAATCTCTCTCCTATATTTTCACTAGGTAAAAATCTTACCAATCAAGGAGCAAAAACAAAAAGAAAAAATCTTATCAATCAGGATTTGTGAAACATACTAGAGAGCAATAAAAGCTAATTGAATGTTTAATCCATCTTACCTGATTAGGTTATAATGAATAAATTATTAAATACATAAGCAAACTAAGTTTTTTATGTTGTTAATTTATAATGCATTTGATGTAGGACAAAATTCACAATACTGAAATGTAGGCCTAATGTGTTCGGACAATATCAATTCAGATCTGAAACAAATCTGTAGAGTAATAAAAGAAAGAGAAAAAGGGATAGAATACCCTAGAAGTCAACACCTAGAAAGTTTATTAGGACTTAGGAGTTGGCACCTAATAGCTTGAAGGAGTCAACACCTTTAAAAAGTGTTTGGAGTCTGCAGCAAACCAAAGAAACAAACCTGTTCATAGAATGTATTTCCTTCATTGATTCCCTTATAAAAGTTCCTATCGTATTTATAGACTCATAAAGTAGAATATGCTAATTACAATAGAATATTGACTTCTAGGTTAAGAAAGAAGGAAAATATCATCTATGATTTTTTAAATCCCTAAATATTCCCTAAGATCTGGGGTCTAGTTGGCTTTTTGGAAGGCTAAATACCTTTCTTCAAGGGGCAGGGTGACCCTTCTAAAAAGTATGTGCTAGACTTTCTCACTGAAATAGGTAAAATGGGTGCAAGACCAATGGCTACACCTATTGATATGAGTTGCAAATTTCTGCCTCTGATGGAGAACTATTGGAGGATAAGTGAGTGTTTCAAAGGTTATTAGGAAAACTGCTATATCTTTGTATTACTCATCTTGACATTGCATATGCTGTTAGCTGCATTAGCCAATTCATGCATGCTCCCAAAGATACACATATGGCAGCAACAACAGAGAGGATTTTATGTTACTTGAAGAGCACTCTAGGGAAAGGTGTTATCTTTGCTAAACATGGTCATATGAAACTGGAGTCCTATATAGATGCTGATTGGGCAAGCAACATTGATGATAGGAGGTCAACTTCGGGATACTGTAGTATGGTGATAGGCAATATTGTTTCTTGGAGAAGCAAGAAACAATTTGTGGTTACTAGATCTTTAGCTGAGGCAGGGTACAAAGCTATGGCTCATGGAGTTTCTGAGTTACTTTGGCTTCGATCCCTAATGGAGGAATTAAGTGTTGAGTATGACAGACCACTGGTGCTGAATTGTGACAATCAGGATGCCATTAACGTCGCCCACAATCCTGCACAACATGATAGAACGAAGCATATTGAGCTCGACAAGCATTTCATTAGAGAAAGAGTGGCTTCTAGAGAAGTTTGTCTACCTTTCATTGCATCTGAAGAACAGTTAGTTGATATTCTTACCAAAGGAGTCTCCAAGGTGACGCTACAACATGATACAAGCAAGCTGAGTATGATTGACATCTATGCTCAGCTTGAGGGGGAGTGTAGGGAAGATGGGCCAAATGTCCCATAGCCCACAATTGTGCTTTATATTTTTTATGTCCTGTTCTGTTAATGGGCCTTTTCTTATGGGCCTGTTAGCATTAGTTTTCTCTTGTTTTAATTATTTAGCCACCCCACTAAGGGCTTACTTTTAATTTCCTGATAGTGATTAATCATTTTAATGAAAGGATTAGGGGAAGAAGATTGGTATGAATGACCTTTCTCTTCCCCCTTATCACAACCGAACTCTTCTTCTTCTTCTTGCTATTGCTATCTCCCTTGTTTCCCCTCTTCTTTTAATCAGCTTCTTATTCTTTTGGGACTGTTTTTCTTCTAAAGGAATGCAAGAATTTTCCAAGGAACGAAGTCTTCTACTTACCAAGGAGTGTATCTTAACAAGGGCAATTCATTGGTTTAAAACTTTGGATTCTTTCCAATTATTCTCCTTTGATGACCTTTGGAGGAATTGGTTAGCAATGGAAAATAGTTCTTCTAGGGAGGAAAATGAATGTTTTTGAACCTCATCACATGACAGTTGGGTAAAATTGAATTTTGATGGAAGCAATCAAGGAAGCCTTGGCCCCTCAAGCATAGGAAGAGTCTTGAGAGATAAGGACAGCAACATCTTAGCCTTATACTCTGGTCTAGTGCGAGTAGGAGGCTCAGTCGGGGCTGATATATTGGCAGCTCTACAGGGTATTGGATAGCAAATCAATTAGGCGTTGAGCATCTTCTAATCAAAGGAAATTCTAAGATTGTTGTGGGCTAGTTAACAGACCTGGGATCAGTCATTTGGTGCTACAAGGATTTCCTAAAGAAGGCAAGTTGGTTAACAAATAATAACATGTCTGTTAGATCACATTGGTGAGCAGGTCAGCAAATGCTTTGGCTCATTATCTTGCTAAACAAGGGGTATTATGGGAACATCTGTACTGGCCAACATTGTAATATCTTATTTCTAGTGCGTTGTTTGGCTTTTTACACTTTATTCTCAACGGAGGTTGCACCTTGTGCCTCCCCTTGGGGTGCTTTTAACTTTTATGATAATCATTGATAAATCGTTTTGGAATAAAATGGCTTGTAGTTTTTTTTTTTAAAGTGTTTTCCTATTTCTTCTTTTTGTTTAGATTTTTGTTTTTATTTTCATCTTTATTAGTTGGTTAGAATAATGAACAAGTCCAACTTATAAAGATTTTATGCAGATCTCTCCAGGAGTTTGGTACCTTGGTTTCTTCAATGGCATTGGACCTGTGAGAACACAATCAAAAATGGTATTTATTTGTTACCATTTAGGACATAATACTTTCTGTAGTAGTTACCTTGCATCATTCTTCCTTGTTTGAGCTTGTTGTGCTGTACCCCTTTTCCTATGATTCAAGGGCACTAATAGTACTCAATTTTTAAAACCCAGAATTTACTTTGGGTGGAGGGGTGGCAGATACTAAAGTCATGCAGATGATAGAATTTAAATACAAGAGATGTCCTCCTATAGATACTAAAGTTTATTCTAAAAGGAGGATATCCCTTTGCAACCTCCAATCAAATAAAAAAGAAAAATAACAAAAAGTTTAGAAGAAAAGTGCAAGAGCCTTACTTGGTCACCAAACTAAGCTAAAATGTTATTTCTAGAAGGCCCTAAGCCTTTGAGAAATACCCTGTTTGTGTGTGTTAGTGTTGTCTGTGTTGTGTTTGCAGGATTTCATAGTATCAGATTCTTGGTTGTCCTGTTCTGTCTGTAATAAATGTTTCAATTGGTTCTTTAGACACTTTTGCCACTTTATAATCATCCATTACTGGTTCTAGGGACCTAAAAGTTATTATTCTTACTCTGGAAACAATGCAGATTATTCGAGGCTCAGCATACTCATTCAGTGCCAATATAAGTGTAGAAGGGTGCACAACCTCGACAGTGTGTGGTCCATACTGCAACCAGACAGTTGATACACTTACATGTGCTACATTTGGTGTCCACAAGCAGCCAAGATATCTTTTAGATGAAATGCACAACCAGACAGTGGGAAGTGTTGTTGGCTGCCAAAATTCTTTTGGAGCTGTATGCCATGGAGATGGTGAGCTCAAAATTTACTCTTTGGAGGTGGCAGGGGCAGCGACACAATTGATAATTAAGGCCACAAATATCCGATCTGGTCAAACAAGTGCTGCAAATAAGACAGAGAATGCCAGTGGAATTGTTTTGATGTGTTTTGCTCGACATGGTGCAGTTCCTCTGACAACTTCCTACGATTATTCAAGTGACTTGGCTAAAATGCCTTTGGTTATTAATTCACCAAAGGTAGGTCGCTGGTATTTCAACATTCTACCCATTAATCAGTCAAAAGTACATGGAAATATGCAAGATATGAATATTACAGCTGATCTTTGTTACTCCATGGAGTGGAAAACAATTGAATGTCCATTTGGAAAGGCTGGGCCTAACTGTACATGGCAAAAATACATGCTTCAGGTTGGATTCTTGGTGTATTTATATTCTTTCTTTTTGCCAATTCAAGCTCCTATTAAAAGTTCTCTATTTTGGTTAATCTTAGTAACTGTTATATGAGGATATGTAGATGTAGTGTAACTGATGTATCTCAGAGGAAAGCTTACCTTCTACTTAAAATATCACTTGGAAACCTGTACTCCAACTCAGCTGAGTTAATGTATTACCTAACAACCCAAAATATTTATGGAAATCATAATAATAATAAATGGGTGCATAAATTTTAATGTAGCCAGAGCACATAGATCTGAGGTTTAGGAAGAAAAGATAATGCAAAGATTCTATATGGGTTCTTACCATTACAAGGGATAATTTTATGGTTTTCATTCATTGTCAATGTGCATAAATGGTATTAAACTGATAAGAACAGAGTTGAATGCAAAAAGAGTGTTGTTATCTGATGCAACCTTCCTGCCTACCCCCATACCAGCCTGAGTGAAATAACACCCCTCACCTAGGTTGAGTTTCAACTGAGAAGATAACACAAAATGTGTGAATTGAAAATTGGGGTGGGAGAGTGAAGTCGGGGTGGAAATAATGCATGCATGCAGGCAGGTAACAGAGACGGGCTGGTCCCCTCTTAGCTACATCCATTGCTATATGAGATTTGGGAACTTGATTACCATTTTACTTTTTCTTATCTTTTTTTTTTCTATTTTTCTGTGGAAGGGGGTGCCTTGTTAAGAATTTACTAGTATTGCATGTTTGATCGAGATGATGTCTCAAACCAGTTTCAACTTGTTTGCTGCAGAAACTCCAACTGACTTTTATTACAAATTTATTTTGAACCAAATGAAATAAGACGAGGAAGCTGGTTTGGACTCTTGACTTGTTTATAAAATTACTTCCATCTTCTATAAGTCTACCCGAATCCTTTCCCTGTTGAAATCATTGAGCTTTCTAGATTTTTATGAAGATGCCAAGTTCGTGTCGTGCAACTTTCTTTTTTATTTACTATATTTGATCTCTTGATTCATATTCTCTTAAAGAGAAAAAAGAACATAGGGGATAATTAATTATTTTTGCAGTCTCAGAATTCCTTCTATTAATCTGCATGGAATTTTCAAATCCTCTTATTTGGTTGACTTATGCATACTGCTCTTTATCATGAACCTGTTCTGTCCTTCAAGTTCATAAAAATACATTTTTCTGTTGTTTATATTGTAATATGCATTATTTGATTTGTTTCTTTGTTACTTGTTATAAATCAAATCTAAGCATAACTTATTTTTTCTGATATGTTTTGACTGGTTGAGATGATTTTCTGCAGACTGTCCTTAGGAAAAATCCCTCTGCTCCATTTGAGTCGTATTATTTACCAATTGATGAAAAGCTGTCCTTGGAATCAGCTAATTTCCCTCTGGAGCCCCTTCTAAGCAACTTCTCATTTAGAAACAAATTAGATGTTGCTTGGACTTACTTTCTTCTGGACATTCCTAATGGTGTAGCTGGAGGCAATATGCGCATCCAAATAAAGTCGGATACAAAAGTAGAATATGAAATATATGCCAGGTTTGGAGGGTTACCTTCCACTGATACCTGGGATTACTATTATGTGAACAGGACAACTAATAGCAATGGATCCATGTTTTTCAAATTGTATGATTCTAGTGACAAAGGAGTGGACTTTTATATCTTATATGCTAGAGAAGGAACTTGGGGTCTTGGACTGAGGCATGGTAGACCTTCCAAACTTCTGACTATAATGTCTATTTCTATTGAGAGATGTCCAAAACGATGTTCTGGTCATGGGTCATGCCAATCTGTTGTGGATGCAAGTGGTTTGACACTATACAGGTAAAATATCTGGTTGTAGTCTTATTTTTGAAGCTTCCCAAGGAAATCAGTTTTTTATCCTTCCTACCTCTTCTTTTTATAATGTCTAAATCTAAATTTGGAAGTCAGAGAATCCTTTGTTTTCTAACTTTCTTGTATTTCATCTCAGCTATTGCTCCTGTGATCGGAACCATGGAGGCTTTGATTGCAGTGTTGAAATTGTGTCACGCCAAGGTATGTCTCATCTTAAACCATATGGAGAAGGATGGCATTCTGGTGGGTCCTAATAAATCTTTCTGCTTCTTGCCCCATTTGTTATTGCAACCTAGTTTTCCTTGTTAACTTCCCTATCCTTTGTTTTGTTTTGTTTTTTAGTGTTTTTCTGGTTGCTTATTTTGTTAATACAATAATATCACTGAGATCCCTTACATGTGCAAATGACAATTGTGTAATGAACCTGGAAAAGATTTTTCAAACAGCATGTAACATCACATAGAATGTGTGTTATTGCCATGGCAAGGGGGCTATTGGTAAGAGGCTTTTCTTGCATTGAACCTTTATTAACATTCTTTTTTTCCTTTGCTAGAACTGCATGCACCAATTGTCTTAGCTCTCTTATATCTAACATAATGGAGATTTATCTTAACACTATACTTGGCAGAAAAAATGAGGCAGATACCCAATGTTTTCCTTTCATCAAACATGATGAGTTAAATTGTTTAATTAGAGGACATACTTGCTTTTATGAAAGGATTCCTAAACTGTTACAGAAACAAGTTGAAGTTGTAAATTTAGGCCCACCTAAATGTCTAAGAAAGCAGTTGATTTCATAATGAAAGACCTATCAATTGATTCTCTCATGGTTAATGGGCAGCTTAATTTGGATCTGATCCTTCCAGAAAATTTTCCTTATATATGTCATGTAATATAACATGTTTGCATATTTCTTCCATCTAGTAAATTTCCTGAAGCTCTTTATATGATGAAATAATGTAGGACATAAATGGCAGTCAATTGCACTTGTTGCATCAAATGCAGCAGCCTTATTGCCTGCATTTTGGTCCCTTCGGAAAAAGGTAAGCTTCGACTGCAAAGTTACTTGGATTTATCTGCAAGCTCTTGATGTAAATGGTGCAGATCTAATTTCAATTAAACTTGAATATTGAAGCTTTCATTATCCAAAATACATATCATGAATTTTGTGGTCTGTTTTTCTGTTTCACCCAGTGTTTCAAGTTCAATTTTTTTTGTCAATGGAATAATGTTAGAGCCCAACTTCTTTGGTAATTTATGATATGATTATTTATAGGCTATTCATTTTCAAAAAAAAAATAAAATAAAATTATAGGCTATTCACTTGTAGGAGACTGTCTATCCCCCTAATTCCCTTGGAGTGTTTTCTTCTTTGGAGGACCATAAGTTGTTGAGAATGTCTATTGTGATCAGGTCAAATTCTGTTCAAATAATAGCATAGAATTCAGATTGAGAATAGAGTACATTAAGATTTATGCTGAATCAATCTGATAAAAATCCAAGTTTGAGATTATATTTTCATTATACAATATACTTTACCCTTATTGTAACAAATTATTGCCTAAAAACTAGATAGCATAATATAATGTATCTCACATAAGAGGGTCAGAATAGCAAAAGGGAAAAGCAAACCCTAAAAGAGCTAAAACCCTAAGTGAAACTTTTGTACTCTCACAATTAGTTAAAACACAAATCTTATAAGTAATGGAATTGACAAACCTCTGTTTATAGCCCTATGTCAAAGGACCAGTAGCCCCTTCTTTTTTTTATTGCAGTGCCTTGAAGAGTGATTGCTCAGATATTTATGATTTATGGTTTCGTCATATTTCCAGAACCTAAAACCTTGGTACCCATTTATACTTGGTTTCATTCCAATGATTTTAAGTTTGTCTCATTTGTTCTTTTCACTTGTTTTTATCACTGATCTTCCTATTCTTAATCTATGTGGTGATGAACTTCTTTTATTGCTCTGTGCAGGCTTTTGCGGAGTGGGTGCTCTTCACATCAAGTGGAATTTCAAGTGGGTTGTATCATGCATGTGATGTAGGCACCTGGTGTGCTCTCTCTTTTCATGTTTTGCAGGTACATGAATTCTTTCTTTTAGGTTCTTTTTGTCATATCAAAGTACTGGTGCTTGAGAAGTTATAAAGGGTTTGGCTTTTCCTTTACTAAGGGTTACTGACAGTGTTCCCTAGAGATGTGACATGGGTGGCAAGTAGCAATGTATCCAGAGTTCTCTAAAACATTCATCATCATCATCATCATCTAGGCCTTGTCCCAACTATGTGAGGTTGGCTACATGAGTCCTATTCCCGAAGTGGATCTCCTATCATCAATACATCCTGCCCAATCAGCATCAGTGTATGCTTCCAGCTTCATGTGTCTATGTTTGGCAAATAGAATGCCTTTCCCTGGAGTACCTTTCAAGTAACACAAAACTCTTTTTGCAGCAAGTAAATGTGTATCTCTGGGAGAATGCATAAACTGATTAATAACATTCACTGCATAGGAAATATCCGGTCGAGTCATGCAGAGATATAACAATTTCCCAAGCAGTCTCTGAAACACTCCCTATCAGATAGAAGTTCACCATCTGTAGCAGAAAGCTTATGATTGGGATCAATAGGAGTGGAGGCTGGTTTAGCACCAAGTTTACCAATCTCTGCAAGGAGGTCAAGGACATACTTGCATTGAGAAATGAACATACCATCCTTAGATCTAGCAACTTCAATGCCCAAAAAATACCTGAGATCTCATAAATCCTTGATCTCAAATTTAGAGTTAAGAAACTTTTTGAGTTTACTGACCTCCTGGGTGTCATTACTTGTGACCACAATATCATCAACATAAACTATTAGAAAGGTCACCAGAGAGCCACTTCTTTTCAAGAACAAGGTATGGTCAATTGAGCTTATGTGTAACCAAATGGGACAAGAGCAACCTTGAATCTCTCAAACCAGGCCCGAGGAGACTGTTTGAGACCATAAATGGATTTCTGCAGTTTATACACCTTCCTTTGCATTTTCTTTCCATACACTCCCGGAGGCAAAGACATATAGACCTCTTCATGTAGATCCCCATTCAAGAAGACATTTTTAACATCAAACTGGTGGAGAGGCCATTCAAAAGTAGTAGCTAGGGACAACAAAACCCGGACTGAGGTCATCTTAGCCACAAGAGCAAAGATCTCAAGATAGTCAATACCATACATCTTAGTGTAGCCTTTAGCAGCCAGCCTGGCCTTAAACCTCTCAATAGAGCCATCAAAATGATATTTAATGGCAAATATCCATTTACAACCCACTGGTTCCTTCCCTTCTGGCAAATGCACAATATCCTAGGTATGGTTCTTATACAAAGCATCCAGTTCATCCATCATAGCATTCCTCTATTCAAGTTTAGATAGGGCTTTTGGTACAGACCTGGGTATAACATGGGAAGAAACAGAAGCAAGAAAAGAGTAGTAGGTAGGGGATAGAAGGCTATAGGACAGGTGTTTAGATATATACAGTGGGTTGTACACTTTCGCTTGCTCTTGCGAAGAGCAATAGGAAGATCAAGGTCTAGGAAAGAAGTAGATGAGTCAGAGTAAGGCTGACCTGTTACCTCAGTAATGGTGGAAGAAGCAGGGGGCTCTTCTGTAGAAGTGGAAACAACTTGCCCATGTCTGAATCTGTGTATTTGGTGCCACCTTTGGAGAACAGGATGAGTAGGAATTACAGGAGGATGAGGTGGAGGAAGAGCAGGAATATTGGAGGTAGGCCAAGTGGGAGAAGTGGACACCTCATCAGATGACTCAAAAGGAATGAGAAGAGGAACTGCTAGAGACATAGCAAAGGGTTCCTCAGATTGTTCCCCCTCAGGAGGAATACTAAAGAAAGAAGTAGACTCAGTAAATGTGACATCCCGAGATACAAAGCAGGTGCCACTAACCGGATTAAAACAGTAATATCCCTTCTGCATGAAGGCATATCTCAGAAAAACACAGCTACGAGCCTTAAGTTCAAATTTGTGCCTTTGATGGCTATGAACATGTATATAGTAGGTGCACTCAAAAACACGGAGAGGAAGAGAAGAGATCATCATCTGGAAAAAGAAGGCTAAAGGGGGTTTTGAAGCCAAGAACCCGGGAAGTTATACAGTTAATAAAAAAAGTAGCAATAAGGACAACATCTCCCCAAAATTTTATAGGAACGTGGGATGCAAAAATTAGGGGTCTGGCAACCTCAAACCACATGTCAGTTCTTTCTCTGCCACTCCATTTTGTTGTGGAGTGTAGGAACAAGAACTTTGATGAATAACTCTAAAAGCTTCAAGATAGGATGAGAGGGTTTTCTCAAAATACTCCTTAGCATTATCATAATAGAATATTTTGATCTGGGTGTTAAATTGGATAAGAATAAGTTCATGAAATTTTTGCACAATAGTTGGTATTTCGTCCTGGGATTTCATGAGATAAATCCAAGTGTAACGAGAATAATCATCAATAAAAAGCATAAAGTACTTGTAACCCCCCATAGCAGGCAAATGATATGGCCCCCACGCATCAGAGTGAAAAATATGAAAAAGAGAAATGGATCTTTTATTGCTTACTGAATAAGATTGTCTACAATGCTTTGCTAGCTCACACGATTCACAATGAAGATTTGATAAAGACACTCACTCAAACATATTTGAGAACAAATGACTCCAAGCAGAAAAAGACAAATGACTAAACCAAAAATGACATAACATGACTTTGTCAACAGACTTTGATAGAACTGACTCCAACGCAAATCCATGAGGTGGTCCAAGAATCCTATCAGGTGTGTCCAACAAGTATATTTCATTCACCCCATGGCCACTCCCATCAGCAAGAGATATTTTCTCCTTACCAGAGAGAAGGTGGTATGAACAAAAAAGATTAGACAAGTTGGTCATATGGTCTGATGCACCGGAATCAATGATCCAAGGGATTTTATGATTATTGAAATTGAAGCATGGTTTGCAAAAGCACGAATACTTGAGTGAGCAAATATCATGATGATGATGTGTTGCCTGAAGAGTGAGATGTAGAGATAGCGGCTTCCAAGTGATTTAACAACCTTCCATACTTCTCAAAATCTACATTCATTGCTGCCAACTGTTCCATGGTTGACTTTTCTTCTTACTCCCTCCTTTGGGTACTGTTACAACATTAACTATCTTAGGCTTTCCTGTCTGACTGGTCTTCTTAAAACTATTGTTATTCTTAAACCTGTTAGGTAAAAGATCAGGGTGAAGCTTCCAGCAAGTGTCCTTAGTATGCATCGGTTTCTTGCAATATTCACAAACTGTTCTTTCTTCTCAGTTGGACCCTTTTGGCTTTATTCCAACATGTGCAAAGTGTTTTGTAGGTGGACTTTGTAACTGAACCTGCTGACTATTCTCTTCATTGCTTACCATAGCATATTCTTGGGCAAGAGTTAACTCATCCTTGGCCAAAATATTCTGCCTAATGATGTCAAACTCAGGGTTGAGTCTTGTAAGAAACTCAAAGACCCTGTTTCGTTCCACCAACTTCCTAAAAGTTTTTGCATCCTTCGTACTTTCCCATACAATTGTCTCCATGACATCAATTTCGTGCCATAGGGATTTCAGCATAGAATAATAGATTGCCACACTTTTCTCCCCCTGTCTTAGGTTCTTCACATCACTTTTTAGCTTGTAGGCTCTTGCTACATTCAACTTCTGTGAATAGGGTTTAGTAACACTATCCCAAGTTTCCTTGGCCGAAGACATCCAGAGGTAATGTTGACTTATATGGGGCTGTATAGAGTTGACCAACCATTCTTTGACTGTATAGTTCTCCTGCATCCATTTATCAAATTCAAGGTCTGTCTCTTCGGGTTTCACCTTATTGCCTGTGAGATACCCTAGTTTTCCTTTACTACAGACATAAATACTTATAGATTGTGCCCAAGAAAGATAATTGGTTCCATCTAACTTAATTGTGGTCACACCAGTTAAAACGGAACCTACCGAGCCAAGCCCCGAAATTGACACCTGCTTGAACTCACTTCCGTATTGCTCCATTAATCAAACGAAAATTAAAAAACCAGAAATATGGTCTTTATAAACTTACTTGAAGTCAAAACAATACCCAGATGCTTAAAAACTAGGCATGAAATTTTTGCACAATAGTTGGTACTTCATCCTGGGATTTCATGAGATAAATCCGAGTGTAACGAGAATAATCATCAATAAAAAGGATAAAGTATTTGTAACCCCCCATAGCAGGTGTAGAGAAGATGGGCCGAATGGCCCATAGACTGTTTATCCTTATTTTTTATGTTCTTTACTGTAATGGGCCTTATTCTGGGCCTATTTTTTCTATGTTATGTTCTTTTAATTTCTTGCCCAACTAAGGGCCTCTTTGTAAATTATTAAAGTTTAACTTAATAAAATAGTGTTAGGGGGTAAGAGGAGAGATTAAGGTTCAAAACTCTCTTCCTCTGAACCCTTATTGCCGCCATCTTCTTCTTCATCCTCTCTTCCTTAGAAGAAGGATTTTTGCTGTTTTCTTTTGATTTCCGCATCCGTTCTAAACAGTCCTCTATTCTCAAGGACTGTTTTTCTTCTTGGTATCAGAGCAGGCCTAAACTTGGCTTGGGCTCTCATGTAGGTGTTGTCCAGCCGACTACATGAGAGTTGTTCTAGGGCTGGAAACTTCAGTTTGAGTCGCTTGTTTCTTGGAGGTCATTAGAGATTGAAGAAGGTGCCCAAGATTCAAATCTCTTGGAGAGCTGTCTGGTGACTAGGAAGAATCGGAGAAAACATGTTGGTTCCTGATTTAGAGCTTAAACCAGAGATTGAGAGTGGTGCCCAATAATTTTTGGGTTGTTTTCTTTATATTTTTCTAGACTGTTAAAGTATCCAAAATTTCTCTGAAATCAGTACTGCTATTCGGCTGTTCTTTTAGACTGCTTTAGCCCAGAAATTTTTGGGTTGTTTTCATATTGTTTGGACTTTCAAGTGGCTGAAATATCTCTGGAATCAGTACTGTTGGTTGGCCTTTTCTTTTGGACTGTTTAGGGTACCTGTACAGACTATTTTTTGGGCTG